TAGAGCCTAGAGATGGTACATTATTTTGGTTGACTGATTTTGGGGAAATTAGAGGCTGCATATATGTGAGGGATGCCATTTGAGAGATTTTTATTTGATTTGGATAGTTTTATTTGGTTTTTTTTTTAGTGTGAGTTGACAGAGTTTTTTTGTAGCAATTTCATGGTTTTAGATGTTTGTACATGTAGCCACATATTGTATATGTTGTGGATAAGGTGTCTTGGCTCTAATATTTCTTGGGATTGCTTTGGATAATTGTGGGGGTCCAATTTGACTTTATATATATACTAGTATGAGTCCCGTGCAGTGCACGGGTAAGAGATATTCATTAATATTTATTTAAAATTCTTATTAGTTTATTGAAATTTTATATAAATTTTAAATTGTGCAAAATTATATAAAAATATTTATTTAAAATTTATACACAACTAATGCGGTGCACATAACTGACAATAAAGAACATTATATTTGTTCCAAAATAAGTGTCATTTCAAAATTTTTATTCAACTATAATGTGATTCTATAAAATAGTTATTTTGGTAAAAATTTATATATTTGACAACCTATGTGAATAATAAGCATATGTATACAATTTATATTGTTTCATTACTTAAAATAAATTAATTTTTGTATAAACTATTCAAATAAAAAAAATTAAATAGTTGAGTAATTTATTAAACAATAAATAATTGACTATTTCATTTACGTCCAAGTTAATATTGACCTGTAAGTTATTGAGTAATTTATTAAACTATAAATAATTGACTATTTCGCTTACGTCCAATTTCATATTGACTCGTACGTTATGATTTTTTTTTTTATTTTTAATTCTAAATACAAATATTTTTATTTTTTTCAATATATTATATACCAAATATAAACCATGTAACTAATAAGAGTAATAACCACAAATTTTGTCAATATATTATATTCTAAATTTTAATCATGCAACTAATAAAGGTAATAGCCGCAATATTTGACCAAAATGATTATGTACATTAAGTACATTAATTTAGGCAGGTTTTTTCAAATTTTGGCAAAAAATTACTCAATTTTGTAAATTTGAATTTTTAGGCGGGAAACCAAATGTTTTTATACAGATTTTTCGTTACTATTTCAAATAAATATCATTGTCTCTTTATATATTAATGGATATATATATATATAAATACAATTATACAGATCAATATAATTTAATGATATCGACAAATCATTCTCACATATCACATCAATACATTTAATTTACTATTAATTACTCATATATTTTTAACTACATACCATTCCAATCGAACATCTCATACTTTTATATCAAATCAGCTTTGATCAGTATGTTTTAAATATTATTTAAATACAAACTCGAAATCTCATTAAAGCATATATTGAATCAACTTTATTTATAATTAACTCACTTAATCAATAAGTCAAATCAAAGCCAAAATAATTCACTTCTAATCATGGACACATAACAAATTTTGAAAAAATGAAATAAATAAACATAGTGTAGGATAAATTTGATTTTATTACACGGGTGTTTGCTTAAATTTTTTCTTAAAATTTAAAATTAATGAGAAAAAGTAGTTGAAATAAATACATTATATATATATATATTTATATTTTTTAGTATGACACTTGTTACTTGTGAGACTTACATGTGTTATATTATAAAAAAAAAATTAACTTATAACATATAACTACAATAAACATGAATATATTAATTGAGAAATAATTTTATTTTTTAATTAATTTTAATAAATTATTTTATTATTGTAAAGATAAATATAATTTATTTATTTTATATATACAATATAGATGTCAAATCAAAGCTCATCAAAAGATGATTAATTTGATACATTATATATGTAAAACCGATAAGAATACAAAAGTTACAACTTTTAAAATACATTTACAATTCAATAGTTCTAGCAGAAAATGATATTAAAATACAATTAATACTTCCAAAATGATCATAAATAAATCATTATATTTATGGTAATCTAGACCTAACTAGTTTTGGATTAGAATTAAATTAAAATCTATTCAAGCCAAATAACAAAACATGAAATTCTGACACCTAGGATTCCGACATGCGAGTCTGCCACTTAGGCTCAGCACATTCAGGATTTATATATAGGGGATATAATAACTTATTATATATATGGATGCCACACAAAAACTAATTATTAATGTAATAAAAATGGTAGATTAAATTAGTCATTATGTTATTTAAGAAAGTTAAAATCTAGCAGACCAAACTTTATTTCAGTTTAGGATGCTTATAAGCCAACTAAGTAAGTTAATTTATAATTAAGGAAGATGTTACGATTCCGCTACAGAACCATTCCGTTGGAATTTGTAACCGTTGGATCAATTATCGGTTACAAATTCCAATGAAATAGTTTGATAACAGGACCATACCATGTCCCCATAATTAATCAACAGGGCAAGTCGAAGATAAAGCCCATTAAGTATCAAGCCTTTCTATTTGTGATGCAAACAGCCCACTTTCCATTTTTTATTCTTACTGATATCACCTTCAGAAATTTCTGTAGTCTCTGCCGAAAACCAAATCATCTCTGCTTCCATTTTCTCGTCCTTATAGAAACCACCACCATTACAGTGTCTTGTTCTGAACAAGAATGGTAAAGGAAGGTCCCAACTGGGATGGCCTGCTCAAGTGGAGCCTCTCTCACTCCGATGGCACCAACACGTCGCGTACTCTAAGGTAACAATCCATTTATTCTTTCAGCGACAGTTTGTTCTTGATTTGGGGGTTTTCAAAATCTAGCTTCTGTGGAAATAAAGAAAGAAGAAAAAAATTTGATGGGTGTTAGGTGTTTTTAGGTTTTAGGGTTCTGACGAGTAATCTGTTTTAATCACCGCAAAATCGTAATTTTAATGGTTAATATTTGTGGGTTCTTAGTGAGGAGGATAGGAGATGGTTCATGGAGGCTATGCAAGCTCAATCGGTCGACGTTATTCGTCGAATGAAGGAGATAACACTAGTTATGCAGGCTCCAGAGCATGTTTTGGAGTCTCAGGGGGTCACACCTCAAGATATTGAAGGTTGTAATTTGTAGATGATTGTTTTTTCATATGTGAGGCTGATCTTTGTTTTTGGGATGGATGTTGATTTTTTAGTTACCCCGAGGGCTTGCAGGTTTGTTAGACGAGCTGCAAGAGCACGTGGAGTCTATTGACATGGCCAATGGTGAGTGGCATTCATAGTTTTCTGTTTTTTTTTGGGACTCTTTGACGAAGATTGCTGGAGGATGAAGATCGGTTTATGTTGTTGGCCTATCTTTCTTGATAAATTATTCCTCTATGTCATTTGCAAAGGGGTTGCAAGAACACAAGTTAGATGTTCAGTGCCGTTTACTTTGAGTGAATCCATATTGCTTCTAGACTAGCGGTTATTATTCCCTAAAATCAAACACGGCATATGCGGTTTAAAATTTGGTTGAGAATCCTCTTTTCCTTCATTAAATGTACCTCTGTATTTGCATCGGGTATTGTGTATCAAAGATCACTTTCTATTGTTCTTCTGAAAATTGTTGTTTTTATATATCATTTGGATAGTTTTAAATTTAACTAGATTCTCATGATTGGGCCTTAAGATGGCACCTCAGAATTGATCATTATCAAGGATCATTTTGTTTCTCTGGGGGAGAAGTTATCTTATTTATTTATTTGTTTATTTAATTAATTATTTTATTCTTTTTTCACAGATCTTAAGTCTATTGGTGGGCTGGAACCTCTCATCAACCACCTGAAGAATCCGCATGCTAATATCAGAGCAAAGGCTGCTGAAGTTGTCAGCACAATAGTTCAGAACAACCCAACGAGTCAAAAGTCGGTGATGGATTCTAATGGCCTTGAACCACTTTTGTCGAATTTTATTGCTGATCCTGATGTTTTAGTCCGTACCAAAGCACTTGGTGCAATCTCATGTAAGGCGTAGATCAAATTTTGATCAAGTTACAAGTTTTTACTTTCCATTTTCCGTTCTTTTTTTTTTTTTTTTGCGTATTATTATTAAATCCTTTCTCCTCGGATTTCAGTCGAGACTCACAAGCCCTCCAGCAATCAAACTACTGCGCGTTAGCGCAACGGCTTTCGCGCGTCTTGCTCAATCCCTTGCTTGTTAGTCGCGTTTACTCGCAGCCTACCGACGCGAAAGCTTGCTATTAGTAAAATAAAATAAACGGTGTAGCTAACGAAAAAAGCTGTGAAAGAGAAAAGCGCCCAAACACAAGAGAGGAATGCTATATTTTCAGCCTTGATCAGACACAACAAGCCTGCAATTGCCGCGTTTCGCCTGGCCAATGGTTATGCAGCTCTAAGGGATGCTTTGGGTTCTGAGAGTGTGAGATTTCAGAGGTAAAAGATTATTTTTTCTGACGAAAAAGAGATCTTCTAAGTTGTAACACTTCTGAAAAAGCTAACTAGTAACCTTCTAAATTCTTTCACTTTATTCTTTATTGATACTGCAGGAAAGCCCTTAATTTGATCCATTATTTACTCCAACAAAACCATTCGGACCTGGCTATAGCCACCGAACTCGGGTTCTCTCGTATTTTTTTGCACCTCGCCTCAAGCCAAGACATAGAAGTACGTGAAGGTGCACTCAGCGGACTTCTTGAGCTAGCCCGAACTGAATCGAGCCGGCCCAATGACATTTCATTCGAAGAAAACGAGAAATTGAAGGAAATTTTGCAAGAAAGAATTAGAGGAATTAGCCAGATGTCTAGTGAGGATCTTGGGGCTGCTAAAGAAGAAAGGCATCTAGTGGACTCTCTTTGGAAGACATGCTTTAATGAACCGTCTCGTCTTGGTGAGATGGGTCTACTTTATCTCCCGGGAGAAGATGGGCCTCCCCCGGATGTCGTGGGCCAGCTTTTTCAACAGCCCCTGAGGACGTGGGCCGCTAATCGGGATCCTAATGGAAAATCGAGTAGCGAGGAGAAGAAGCCCGTGTTGCTCTTGGGCCTTGGGCCCTCGTCCGGGATTTGAGATGACGCGGAATGGGACCCTTTTTTTTTTGTAAGGACATTTTCATTGCATTTTGTGATACCATATGTTGTTGTTTAGTAAATTTAACTACAAAAGTTCCAAAGTTTTTGTGCCACAAACCAAACCACAAAGGTTGTGTTTTGTAAGCATATAAGCTAGTTTATAGCTTATTTGATTAGATTATTCTGTATTCAAATAAGTTTGGTTTGGTAGAACGAAATTTTTTTAAAATACTATTGGATAGTTTTTCAAATAAGCTCATTGAATTTTTTTTAGCTAGTTTATCCGTTAATCTTATCAAATCATATTAGCTAGCTTTTCAGCTATAAATTATAAGTTATCAGCTATAAGTTCGAAATACATTTAAAAGTCATAAGCTAGCTTATCAGCTAGATTTACCAAACATGAAAAAAAAAAAAAAA